ACCAACTGAGCCACCCAGGCGCCCCCCGAACACAGATTTTTAAAGGGCTGAGCAAAGCAGAGGGAACTGGTACCAAGCATTAGTGTTCTGAGGCTTCAATCCAGGAAGTTTCTCCTTGATGCTAGATGATTTGTGGGGATTTGTGCTGGGATGGAGAGGAGAGTCAAGGTGACTCCTGACAGTGTCAGCCTTGGCCTGAGAGTTCCAGGCCCATTTGATTCAGTGCTAGAAGAAGGCCAGACAGGGCTAAAACTAACCTCAGGAAAAAAAAATCTAAAAAAAGGGGATGCCTGGGTGGCTCAGTTGTTAAGCGTCTGCCTTCAGCTCAGGTGATGATCCCAGAGTCCTGGGATCGAGCCCCGCATTGGGCTCCCTGCTCGGCGGGAAGCCTGCTTCTCCCTCTCCCACTCCCCCTGCTCGTGTTCTCTCTCTCACTGTCTCTTTCTCTGTCAAATAAATAAATTTAAAAAATCAAAAATCAAAAACTAAAACTAACCTCAGCACAACAGAATGGAAAGCACTTGGATGTTGGAGCAGACATTCTAGTTCTACATACTGGTTGTATGATCTAAGACATGAAGTGTGTCTTCCCACCCCAGAGTTGCTATGAGAATTAGAGGAAGTACATTTATGGCTAGAAAAACACGCTCTATCTTCTTTGGAGATATAATACAATTTAAATCCCAAGATCTTAAATGATAATTTGTGATTGGCTTTCTCTCTTTTCTCTTTCCTTTGAACACCTAATTCCTTCTCACGGTTTTCACTGCCATCACCATCTACCAGTTCCTAAATTACTGGTCCTAACTTCTCATCTACAGCTCCAAATGTTTGTGTGTATCTTCACTTGGCTCTCCTGCTCTCACTGAAAATTCTACTCGTCCAACATTGCCAGCTTCATTCACATCTGTTAGTCTTTTCAAATTCCTCATTTTAAGTCAAGGGTTTCGCATTCTTTCCACCTCCCAAGCTAGAAACCAGAGCGTTATCTGTGAGATTTATAGTATCAGTCAGGGTCCTGGCAGGACCTTGACGGTTTACTCCAGTGGAGCAACTGAGGAGAGTTTAATAAGGCCTCATTTACAACAGTGCAGGCAAGGTTAGGGGAAACCAATAAGGGACAGAGAGCATCTCATAGAAGGAACAGTGGGGCAAATGGGATGGAGGAAGAGCAGATTTTGGAGCCCAGGGAGAGTAGCTATAGTGGTAGGAGAAGCTGATACAGGCAGGAGGACATCAGGGAAATAAAGACCCCTACCTCATCCTTCATTTCTCTCTTCTCCTGTTGTCTTCTACTGGCTGAAACCAATGCTGGGGCAAGGGAGCCTGTTGATGCAGTCCATTGAAGGTCAGCCTCCTGGCTGGGGCGCAGAGAAAGATGGAGGATGCATCTGGGCAGGGGACATGGAAAATATCTACCACACCTGCCATTTTGTATGCCCTATGGCCAACATGTTTCCAAACTTGTTTATTCATTTTTAATAATCAGAAGTAATCATTATGATGATGATCCTGGCACTCAGCATTAACTCATTTAATTTTCACAGTATGAGGTGAGGGCTATTATTATCTCAGATGAGAAAACTGAAGTTTAGAGATCAAGTTGACTAAAATCATACAATTATTAGGTGATAGAGTCTGAACTTGAGCCCCAGGGTGTCTGATCCTGTAACCCCATTGTGCTATATGCAGTATCTCTCCAGTCACCCTTTCCTTCCCATGTTCATGAACACTGCCTGGCCCAGGCCCTCCTGGGCATTCTTTAAGCCTGACTTAGCTCTCACTTTTACTGAGCCATGGCAAAATCCTCGAATCCAGTCTCTTTTTCCAACTGGAATAAAATCCCTAAGACCAGGGGTGGTTGTGCCTGATGTAATTTTTGTATCTCTCATACGTTTGGCCCGGGGCCACACACAGGCAGTGCTCAGGGCTGCAAGGCTGAAGCCTCTATACATCAAGACCAGACCTTAACCTTCACGGCTTAAGTATTCATCTGCATGGCGCTGCATGTGTGGACTTCTCGAAGACCCATTCGAAGCTCTGGCTAAACTTCTTGGTGTTCCTTCCCCCATCTCACCCTCCAAGTGCCATAGACTCAAGCTCAGATCCTCTAATGTCAGTTCCTTTTAAGGTCTGTGTGGCTTCAGGCATACCTCCTAGAGCTCCAATTTCCTCCTGTATACAGCTGAGATAATAAAATCTATTCTGCAACATTTACAACATTGATGTGTGGATTAAGTAAGACAATGCACGGGGAAGTAAGCTACAAATCATTCTGCAAAAGCACAGGATTACTGATATCCTATTAAGGAAGTTCAGAGGCCCCTAAGTGGGTTCTGGGAGAGAAATCAGGTCATTGTACTGAAAAAGCTGTGTGCTAGGAGGGTGTTGTAAACGTGGAGATGGCTCTTGGGTAGACCGTATTTTAGATGTCACACTCTGAAACAAAACAATGGCCGGGAGAAGGATTGTGGCTTTATTTTGAAACTACCGTAGAGTACACCGCCCTTGTATTTGGGGGAAACCAACCACAAGCAGAGGCTTCCATGTGCATGACTCCGGTGACTTTACTGCTGCAGGTCCTGGAGAAACTGCAGGGACATCTTGAACTGCTGGAGCAGGAGTTTCTGGACAACAAGGAGATGCATCTGACTTTGAAGCAAGTTCACAGGCATGAATCCCCAGCTGTCGGTGACTTTGATCCAGAAAGGTCAGGGTTAAACTGTGTGAGGTGGAGGGGGCAGAGGCGACCTTCTTCAGGTGGGATTCTGAGGTGGCTGCCGGCCTAGTGATTGCACAGCCCCTGGTCTAGGGTCAGCAAAAACTCTGCCACCAGTGAACAGGTGTTACCCCATGCGACAAGCAGTGTGGAATCCCCGCTACATATGAAGTCCTGGGCTGGGCACTGACCCAGACGGAGTCCTGGAAATGAACAGTTGTCTCCTGGAGGAGAGACTTTGTACTACCATCTTGTCCTTTGTTGGATGTCAGAATTGGTTCTGAGACTCAGAACAGCACGAGAAAACTCTAGAAAGGCTCACACGCTAACCCCAGAGGGCCTTCTCTCCAAGATCCTCGTGTCCTGCCCTTCACCCCACTCCTGCCTCTGTTTCCCCTGCCTGGTTCTTCTGTCCCCTTCTCTCCCCTTCCCCTTTTCTTTCCCATCCACAGACAATTCCACTGGGGCAGTGGGCCTGAAAGGACCAGTGTTAGGTTGGTTAATGTGGGCCGAAGGACCCACAAATCCCTGTAAAGGGAAAATGTTAAAGCTTAAAGTCAAAATGACTTCTGAGTTAGTTCACATTAGAAACTTGGAAGCAAACTCACTGAAGTTTCCAACTGGCCATTATTTTATGGCCCTGCGCTCCTTTCTCCAATCCAAATAATTTTAAGATGTATTCCAGGACTCAAGGCTAGGATTGGTTTCCATTTAATTTCCTGGTACGAATTAAAAGAATCCATTTAGGAGGCTTAATCTTTGTGAGTGCAGCTCTTTCTATTCATAGCATTTTCACATGGAATCATTATTGAGGCCAGATTACTTTAATGGTTTATATTTTGGCCCTAGTGTCCTGAGGTATTCCCCCCCCCGCCCAAAGGACAATTTTACTTTTTCAAAATGAATGAAATCTCTGTCTACCGTTATTTCCATACTGAGTAATTAGACAGCAAGGATGAGGTTTTAATATTGATTTTTCCCCCCAAAGGCTTATTTTGTTTTCTGGGAAAAGAAAGATCTCTACATATTTTCACTATTTAAAAACTAATAGAGTAAGGATATTTATTTTCCAAGGACTCCCACTTGTCTGGGCAGTCATTTCAAAGTCAGGCCTCGGTGCTCAGTGAGACCAAAGTTATGCAACGTCATATTTATATCCTAGTTACACCCACAGTGTGCTGGACCCAGTAGAAATCAAAAGAGTTTCAACTGCAATTATATCCCAGATATAGGAAAAGCTTTCAATACTGGGGCAAGGGAAAGACCCAGTCTCTCCCAAAACCTGCGTTAAAACCAGCTCAGAGCAAGCAAGGCTCCTCAGCTTGACACTGGTCCTCTTGTTCTTGCATGGGCATAACGTGGCAATGAACAGAACCCCATACAATTGTCCAGAACCTTCTAAGTGTTGAATCCAAAGGACATTGTAGATGGCTTTCTGCAGGGGAAAGAATTCTGCTGATTCGTTGACGAATTACTTGTTTAAGTCCACTATGTGCTCATATTACCTTTAAAAGGTAATATGCAAAAATAGTTGTTTTGGGCGCCTGGGTGGCTCAGTTGGTTAAGCGACTGCCTTCGGCTCAGGTCATGATCCTGGAGTCCCAGGATCGAGTCCCACATCGGGCTCCCTGCTCAGCGAGGAGCGTGCTTCTCCCTCTAACCCTCCTCCCTCTCGTGCTCTCTGTCTCTCATTCTCTCTGTCTCAAATAAATAAATAAAAAATAAAATCTTTAAAAAAAAAATAGTTGTTTTATTTCATGTAGCTTGTTTGTCAGAATGTAGTCTGATAGTCATTTCACACGCTAATACCAGAAGCCAAGAGGTCAAGGAATGGGGTTCTTTCTCCACCAATCCCTTCTCTCTGATATTATGAGCATACAATCTTGTCTTCTGCTTTATGGAAAAGATCACAAATTCCCTCAAAAATGTCTTTTCTGGGGCACCTGGCTGGCTCAGTCAGAAAAGCATGTGACTCTTGATCTCAGGGTTGTGAGTTCAAGGCCCACATTGGGTGTAGATATTACTAAAAAATAAATAAACTTAAAAAAAATGTCTTTCCCCCATCTCTAGATCTACATGTTTTCACCTCCTCTTTCTTCCTTCACTCACTTCCAACCCATCTGGCCACGGTCCTTGAGCCCATTTCTTCCCACCACCTTCAGGCCTTGCTCCACCATTTCACTTCCTTCCGATTTTCAGCCTCTCTTTGTCCCCTGCCTAGTTCTTGTCCACCTGCCAGATTAGAGCATATTTTCCTATATTTTACTTGACTCTCGATAGGGTTTTCCATGCTTAAATCTTTGTACCACTGCTTACTGAGTAGAGCAGCCTTTCCCACTGGATGGAAAAGCCTCTTTTATCCTATTAAAAAAAACTCTCCACATGTAGATGGGTCTGGTTCAATTCCATCCCATTGAGTTACGTTTCTATTTCCACCTTAACCACACCGTTTTAAATGACTATAGTCTAGTGTACATTTTGAAATATTTCTTCTTTAAAAGTTGTTAGCTGTTCTTGCACCTTCTTCTTACCCATAAACTTTATAATCAGCTCACCAAATTTCCTTCATGAAATTCCAGTAGAATTTTGTTTAGAATAGTGTTGAATTTCCAGATTAGTTAGAAAGAGTTAAAACCTTTGCAACGAGTATTCCCATCCAAGAGCATGTTTTCTTCATGTAGATTTCATGAATGTTTTGTTAGACTTATTCCTAGCTATTTTATAGGTTTTCTGAGCATTAGTAATAGACGTTTTCTGTAATTGATATACAGGAAATAAAGAAAAATCGTATATTTAACTTGTGCTGGGTTACCTTACACAAGTTTGTTTTTAGTGTTCTTTGATTATCCATTGATTGTCTTAGTTTTTAGGTGTGACAGTCATAGCATTTGAAAATAACTCCCCCCCCTAAATATTTATACTTTATTTTTTCTTCCCTCCAATTCTTATATATCACATTTCTTTTTATTGATTTATTTCATTTGCTAGGTTTTCCAAAACAATGATAAATAATACTAGCAAAAGCAATCATTCTTGTCATGTTCTGAACAGTAAGGGAATTTTTTCCAAGTATGATTACTTGCTGTGGTTTCAAGTAGATAGCTTTATCAAGATTCTACTCCTAGTTTACTAGGATTAGATTTTTTTTTTAAATTTAGGAAAATGTTTAATCAAGTGGGATTTAGAAATCTATTTATTTCCTAAATCTATTAATATAGATTAATTAACCTATAATTAATTAATATTAACATATTATTAAACATCCTAATGTTTATAGAATGATTTGGGAAATTTTCCTTTTCTTTTTATGTTCCAACTTAAAGTCTTTCTAGAACTCATTCCTAATCCCACTTGGATTTGGTGCCTTTTGGGGGGTAGATTTTCTTTTCTTTTTTTTTTTTTTAAAGATTTTATTTATTTATTTGAGACAGAGAGAATGAGAGACAGAGAGCATGAGAGGGAGGAGGGTCAGAGGGAGAAGCAGACTCCCCGCCGAGCAGGGAGCCCGATGCGGGACTCGATCCCGGGACTCCAGGATCATGACCTGAGCCGAAGGCAGTCGCTTAACCAACTGAGCCACCCAGGCGCCCCTGGGGGGTAGATTTTCGATAATCTTTTCTATTTTTCTCTGGTTATTCAGATTTTCTACCTCTTTTTGAGTAGATTTTAATAATTTATGTTTTCCTAGAGACTTGTTCATTTCATCTAGATTATAAACTGTGTTGGTATAAAGTTGTTCAGTCCCATTTGATTAAAAATTTTTCTTCTGTTATCTTCCCTTTCTCGTTCTTAATGCTTTTCAGTCAGACTTTCCACTGGTTTATTTTATAGATATTTTCAAAGAAAATGTTTTATTGATCAAATTCTTTACAGTTCCATTTATTTCTCCTTTTGGGGGGTTTATCTTGTGGTTCTTTTTCTATCTTCCTGTTTTGAATATTTAGCTTATTGATTTTGAACTTTTCCCTCTAGTAAATGCCTTTTAAGCTATAAATTTTCCTCAGAGTACTGTACTAGCTACATTACATTGGTTTTACATGTTGTTTTCTCATTTATTATTCAGTTGTAGAGTATCCCTATTCTCTATTTTTATTTCCTAGTAACCCAAGAGTTATAAGGATGAATGTTAAAATTCCCAATTAGTTTTTTGTTGTTGCTGTATTTTTGTTATTAATTTCCAGTGATCAAAGAATGTGGGTGGTATAATTTTAAGACTTCTTAAGAGTATCTTTAGCTTCACAGGAAAATTGAGAGGAAGATACAGAGATTTCCCATATACTTCTGCCTGCACACATGCACAGCCTCTCCCATTATCAACATCCCCCACCAGAGTGGTACATTTGTTACAACTGATGAACCTACACAGATAAATCATAATTGTCCAAAGCCCAGAGTTTGCATTGGGGTTTACTGTTGGTGCTGTACATTCTATAGTTTGGACAAATGTATAGTGACTTGTACCCATCTTTATGGCATCATACAGAGAATTTTCACTGTCCTGAAAATCCTTTGTACTCCACCAATTCATCTTTCCCCCCACCCCAGCCTCTGGCAATTGCTGATCTTTTTACTGTTCCTATAGTTCTGCCTTTTCCAGAATGTCACATAGTTAGAATCATGCAATATGTAGACTTTTCAGATTGAGCTTCTTCTACTTAGTAATATGTATTTAAGGTTCCTACATGTCTTTTCATGACTTGAAAACTCATTTTTTAGTGATGAGTAATATTCCATTGTCTAGATGTGCCACAGTTTATTTAGCCATTCACCTACTGAAGGACATCTCGGTTGCTACCAAGTTTTGAAAAGTATGACTATAGATGCTATAAACATCTGTGTGCAAGTTTTTTCGGGTCAACATAAATTTTCAGCTCCTTTGGGCAAATACCAAGGAGTCTGATTGCTGGATCGTATGGTAAAAATATGTTTAGTTTTGAAAGAAACTGTCAAACTGTCTTCCAAAGTGGCTGTACCATTTTGTATTCCCACCAGCAATGATTGAGAGTTCCTATTGCTCCACATCATTGCCAGTATTTGGCTGTTAGCATTCCCGATTTTGGCGATTCCACTAATGTATAGTGGTATCTCATTGTTGTTTAAATTTGCATTTCCCTTATGACATATGTTGCGGAGCATCTTTTCATAAGCTTATTTCCCATCTGTATATTTTCTTTGGTGAGGTGTCTATTAAAGTCTGTAGCACATTTTAAAATTGGGTTGTTTTCTTACTGTTGCATTTTAAGGGTTCTTTGTATATTTTGGATAACGATCCTTTATCAGCCCTTTGCCAATATTTTCTCTTGGTCTGTGTCTTGTCTTCTCATTTTCTTGGCAGAATGGAAGTTTTGGTTTTTTTTGTTTTTTTTAAAGATTTTATTTATTTATTTGACAGAGAGAGAGAGATAGCGAGAGCAGGAACACAAGCAGGGAGAGTGGGAGAGGGAGAAGCAGGCTTCCCGCCGAGCAGGGAGCCCGATGCGGGGCTTGATCCCAGGAGGCTGGGATCATGACCTGAGCCGAAGGCAGACGCTTAACAGCTGAGCCACCCAGGCGCCCCTACCCCTAGAAGTTTTAATTTTAATGAAATCTAGCTCATCAATTATTTCTTTCATGGATGGTGTCTTTGGTTTTGTATCTCAAAAGTCATCACCATATCCAAGATTATCTAGGTATTCTACTATGTTACCTTCTAGGAGTTTTACACTTTTGCATTTTACATTAGGTCTATGATCCATTTTGAGTTAATTTTTATGAAGGGTATAAGGTATGTGTCTAGATTCATTTTTTTGCATGTGGATATTCAGTTGTTCTAGCATCATTTGTTGAAAAGACTATCTTTGCTCCATTGTATTGCCTTTGCTCTTTTGTCAAAGATCGAGTGACTATAATTATGTGGGTCTATTTCTGGGTTCTCTATTCTGTTCCACTGATCTATTTGTATAGTCTTTCACCAATACCACACACTGCCTTGATTACTGTACCTTTATAGTAGGTCTCAAAGTTGGGTAGTGTCAGTCTTTCAACTTTGTTCTTGTCCTTCAATATTGTGTTGGCTATTCTGAGTCTTTTGTCTCTTCATATAAACTTCAGAATCATTTTGTCAGTATCCACAAAAGAACTAGCTGGAATTTTGACAGGGGTTGCCTTTAATCTATAGATCGGATTGGGAAGAACTGACATCTTGACAATATTGAGTCTTCTTATCCACAAACATGGAATATCTCTGCATTTATTTAGTTCTTCGATTTCATTCATCAGAGTTTTATAGTTTTCCTTATATAGATCTTGTACATATTTTGTTAAATCTATACCTAAATATTTCATTTTTTTGATCTTAATGTAAATGGTTTTGTCTTTAATTTCAAATTTCACTTGTTGATGGTATATAGCTAAGTGATTCACTTTTGTAATATTAACCTTGTATCCTGCAACCTCATTATAATTGCTTATTTGTTCTAGTTTTTCTGTTAATTCTTTTGGATTTTCATATGTGAAAAAAGACACTTTTATTTCTTCCTTTCCAATCTGTATACCTTATATTTTCTTTTCTTGTCTTATTACATTAGGTAGGATTTCCAGCACAATGTTGAAAAGGAGTGGTGAGAGGGACATCCTTGCCTTTTTCCTGATCTTAGTGAGAAAGCAGTGGCACAATTTTTAATGTTTTGGAATTTGGTGAGATTTTTCTTTGTGGATTAATATGAGGTAAATTTTTGTAAATGTAATGGCTTTGAGGAAATTGGGTTCTTTTTGGGTAAAATATTTATATTTATGTATACACTTACACATATACACTTGTTTAAACATGTATACATATATGTACATATGCCTATAGATCAAGCTTGTTAATCAAATGATTCCCCAGATATTTCATGTCCTTCCTCTTTTCAATTGATATAAATCATTATTTCCATAGAATCACAGCTCTTAGAACTGTAAGGGACCTCAAAATAATTAGATCCAGATGAGCAGAGTATTGTTATCCCCATGTTATAGTTGAGACACGGGAGGTACAGTAAGATGAGGTGATTTTCCCAAGGATGCACAGCTAATGAATAACAAAATGAGGATTAGAGCCCAGGCCTTTGGAGTGAGACTATAAACAGGATGCATGTCAGGGCGGGTGTCCATTATCCTTCCTGTCTGAAGGCAAACCACATTAATAATATAGATCAATGCTATATTCATGAACTGTTGTTACTAATTAGACTGTTGACTGCATATCCAGTAAGATGCCTGTTTATGTCTATTAGAGAAGTGGAAGGAGAAATCTTCAAGTTGGAGATGCTACTTGAGGATGTTAAAGAGAAAATTAATAAGGGCAAATGTACTTCAGCCGTTTCTCTTCCTGTGAGTTCTCCAATCATCTCGGATGACTTGGCATCCACATCCTCTCCACCCTCAAATGAGGTAATACGGCAACCTACAGCCTAATTTCATGCCAGGAAAAATGTTTTTTATGCATTTATAGAATCCTAATGCATGAAATCATGAATTCTATTTTAATATTTCATGAAAATTTAATTTTCCAAAGTCCCATGAATCATATTATTTAAAATGGAACCAGCTTTTAAAAATTAGAAGCTATTTTAAGTGTTGGTTTTTGAAAGATCTTATTAGTTTAAGATGTAACAATGCAGTTTAAAGTGATGAACCACTGAAAAGCTATTTCTTCTGGATGAGGAGCAACATTTTTGTGGATTGTGCCTGGAAGAAATAATTTCTCTTAATAGTTTTGTATTCCCTCTTCTACATAAAGAATAACACACTCAGTGGGAAGAACTATTTCCCATGGGTCCACTTCTGCATTTTCCTTCTCTCAAGTTAAATTCTTTTGGATTGTCTACATATGCAAGATTAGGAATTCAATCACCACTGTCTTTCTACACTTTTTGTTTTTGTAGTTTCAACTATCAGAACATTTCAGACTAAATTAAAATTCTGAGAAACTGAATCATCTGGATAATTGCCTTAACGTGACTCTTTTGTTTCAGACAGCACTTGAAGTCACAGCCTGTGGCTGACACTCAAAATCTGAATAGGTTTTTGTCACAGTTAAGAACAAGATGTTGAAAGTTATATAAATGCTAGCCCTGCCAAAAAAGTGTGTTTGCTCCTTCAAAACACTTAACCTTTCCAGCAAAATTTCATTCATGGCCCAGCTTCCGAGTTAGGCCATTTATATAACTTTGACACACAGTCCCCCACCTCAGGCAGAATTCTTTGCTCAGACCTCTGTGTCCCCTCAGTACTGTGTCTCACTTGTCCCTGTACCTTTGTACCTATCTTTGTATCACAGACATCTGACTGAGCTCCTGATATAGCATGAATGTTCAGTGTAGTAACCTCTGAGCCCTTGTGAATTTAACAGTCTCAATGCTTCCCAAGCTGTGAACCAGAATTAGCTTCCTGGTGGTGTGAGGGAGCCCAGAGAGTGAGCCTAGCCTTCCGCCCAGCAGCTCTCTCAGATCTGGGTTTGCTTTTCTTTACTGGGTCCCAAGTTTACCCGCAACTATTCTGAAATAATAAGAACTCTAGAATTTTGTGATGAGTGGCCCTGAAAAGACAATCTACTGCTAGGATCATTCATTCATTCAACAAATATTTATTGCCAAATGCTAGGCACTTTTCTAGGTATTGGGGTATAACATCAACAAAGCAGACAAGTCACCCACCCTCAAGATGCTTACATATCTCTAAGGGATCCATACAATGGACAAATAAATAAGTGCAATGCACTTAGCATAATACATTCCTGTGACTCTGGAGCCGAACTGCCTGGGTCTGAGCACTGGCTCTGTCACTCATCAGCTTTGTGACCTTGGGCAAGTTATGTAACCTCTCTGTGCCTCAGTTTCCTTTGTAAAATAAAGATAATAATACCTACCTAAGCTTCCAACTCCTCTACTGTGAAAAATCTTTGCAAACTGTAAAGCCCCGAGCCCACAGAATTATTATTGTTTACTTCTCATTATAATTTTGTCATTATCATTTTAGACCTGTGGATTTTTAATCCCAGCACTTGCAATTAATTTGTAATGAAATAATCTCAAGTGTGGTCCCCAGACCAAGAGCACTAACATCACCTGGCAGCTTGTTAGAAACTGTTATGATGTTGTTATGGTGTTAAGTGAGTTAATACGGGTAAAGTGCTTGAAATGGGGCCTGGCTCATAGTTAAGCACACTAGCTGGGTGTTAGCTTTTGTGATTATTCAGTAATGGCATGTGACCAAAAGTCACTCACTGTGGGAGGGCCAAGTCACTCGGGAGACTTGGTCAGGGAAGGTAAGATTTGAACTGAGTTGGAGGGAGGGGTAAGAAGGAGGAAGATAGGTGGAGAGTTGGGGAAACAGAGCTACCCTATGACCCAGCAATTGCACTACTGGGTATTTACCCCAAAGACACAGATGTAGTGAAAAGAAGGGCCATATGCACCCCAACGTTCATAGCAGCAATGTCCACATAGCCAAACTGTGGAAAGAGCCAAGATGCCCTTCAACAGATGAATGGATAAAGAAGATGTGGTCCATATATACAGTGGAATATTACTCAGCCATCAGAAAGGATGAATACCCAACTTTTACATCAACATGGATGGGACTGGAGGAGATTATGCTAAGTGAAATAAGTCAAGCAGAGAAAGTCAATTATCATATGCTTCCACTTATTTGTGGAACATAAGGAATAGCATGGAGGACATTAGGAGAAGGAAAGGAAAAATGAAGGGGAGGGAATCGGAGGGGGAGACGAACCATGAGAGACTATGGACTCTGAGAAAGAATCTGAGGGTTTCAGAGGGAAGGGGGTGGGGGGATGGGCTAGTCCGGTGATGGGTATTAAGGAGGGCACGTATTGAATGGAGCACTGGGTGTTATATGCAAACAATGAATCGTGGAACACTACATCAAAAACTAATGATGTACTGTATGGTGAATAACATAACATAATAAAATTAAAAAAAAAAAAAGGAACTCCAGGCAGGATGTGATGGTGCCTAGGGGTGCAGTGGGGATGCTGAACTGATCTGAGTCTCCCCATGGAACTGCAGTTCTAAAGGCAGTCCCTCTGTGCGGCTCCGTGGATTCCTAAGGAACACCAGGGCGTCCTTCGGGGCAGTGACAGGCCCCTTCCTACACAGCTATTGCTGCGGAGGGAGGGCTTGACCAGTTCTGAGAGGAGAAGGAGAGCGGCCACAAGATGTCCCCACCACACTCTACCTCAGGTTGCTCCTTCCCATCGTCCCAGGAAGGCTGCAATTAAATTCCCGATGACTCTTAGCCAAAGAATCCCCCAAAGTGGGGCTCCCACAGAGCTCAAGAACTGATTCTAAATTCAAACTGCCTAAAAAAACAAAAAAACAACAAACAAACAAAACACCAAAACCCCAAAAACAACGATAACACAGACCAACCAGATCAAATGGCCATGAGGTTGTCCTCTGATCCCAGGGTCATGTCCAGCAGCCCAGCCCTGCTCGGTTCAGTTCCTTCTGTTGGATCTCTGACCATAACCAGTGTTGCTGAGTGTGGCTCTGAACCTGGCATCATCGTGATCACCTGGCTCTGAGCTTAACTAACACCGTGGATGTCAGTGCTGGTGACAGCTGCTGGTGTTGCTAATGTTTCCCACTCTCAGCGCTCGGGAGACACTTGCCTGGCGTACCTGTTCTAGATCAGGGCTTCTCCAGCCACAGTGCACCTAGAAATCCTGTGCAAATCTTACTGCACATAGGCTTTGATTCGGTGGGTCTGAGGTGAGCCTGCGTTTTGAACAAGCTCCCAGGTGACGCCAGTGTTGCTGGTCTGGGGACCACACCTTGAGATTATTTCATTACCAATGAGCTGGAAGTACTGGGATTAAAAACCCCTGGTCTAAGGGGGGGGTGGCTGGGTGGTGGACATGGGGGAGGGTGTGTGCTGTGGTGAGCGCTGTGAATTGTGTGGGACTGACGAGTCACAGACCCGTACCCCTGAAACAAATAATACATTATATGTTAATTTAAAAAAATGAAAAAAAAAACAAACCCTTGGTCTAAAAGGATAGTGACAAAATTATAATGTTGGTTCAGAGCTCACAGTTTGCAAAGACTTGGCAGAAGAACAGTTGGAAGCTTAGGAAGGTGAGGAGACTTAGGAAGGTGAGGACAAACGTTAGGGGACACTGGATCCCAGGCCTCCCAGTTCAGGTGGAGGGCACCTGCCTACATTCTGCTCACGTAAATCTACCTTATATGTGAAGTGCAGGGTACCTCTGTACCCCTAAAAGTGAGAAGTCATCAAAGAAAACACAGGGGCAAAGCCTTTTTTTAAATTATAAAAACAATTTATGCTTATTGCAAAACAAATCAGAAGACAGAAGTATAAAGAAGAACATTTCACAGAGAGAAAAATCATAGCTAATATGTTAGTGTGAATCTGTCGAGTCTTTTTTCTTCTCCACAGACACATACACATTTTTGAAAAACTGGGATCATGCTATATATATTGTTTTATGATGCTTTTTCTCTTTTAACATTCTATCATGGGCATTTCAACAATCATGTAGAATAAACCTATGGCTTCATTTTTAAGGACTGCATTGTATTTCATTATACCAATTCATTTAACCAATCCCTTGTTGATGGACATTTGGTTTTTTCCAGTTCTTTGATATTACAAACACTGCTTTGGTGACATCATTTTATATGCAAGCTTTGGGCCATACTCGATTATTTCCTTAGACTAAAAATGTTAATGGTTCAAGAGGCAAGAGGCAAGAAAATTCTGATAAACTGGCGCTTAGCAAGGTGGTGTCATGGCCCAGCTGTGCATCAGAAAGGAGCCGTGTCCCCACCCCACCCCCAAGCCCACCCTGGGGATTTTTTTTTTTCTTTCCAACCTTCGCCAAAGTGATAAGTGAAACTGGTATCTCATTGTTTTCATCTGTATTTCTTGGACTGTTTGTGAAATTTAACTCATTTTCATATGTTTCTCGGCCATTGCCACCTCCTCTTTGACATCATCAACATTTTAACTAATATTTGCAAAACTGAAACCGAAGCCACTTTTTTTGAAAGGCAGACAAGTTGGAAAATATTAAGAACAAATAACGTGCCATATTGAGATTTTTATTATACAAAGGGCTCTGCAGGTGACCAAAGGAGCAGGAAAATTGTGGTTAAGAACACAAGCAGAAGGGGAAAGTTTCAAATCCCAGGTCTGCCACTTACTCTCTGTGACCTTGCCAAGTTGCTGAAATTCTCTGAGCATCAGGATGCCAGGAGGGCGAGAAGGAACCAAGCAGGTTGTATGAGGAGGACCTGGCACAATGAGCAGGCCACAAATGGTTGTTGTTGTTAGTAAGGAAACACCGAAAATCTCCAAAAAAGTAATGGACAAAGGAGATGAACTGAAAGTCACAAGTAGGAAACACAGCCAATAAATAAGCACATGGCGAAATGTTTATCTCCTTTAATAACAGAGGCAATTAACACAAGGTGCCACCTCCCCGCTTTTTAAGTGAACAAAAATATTTCCGAGGATAATACCTGATGCAGCGGAAGGCGGGGTCAAACTGAGCTGCCCACATTGTTGGTGGCTGTGTCATCTTATAACGTTTGTGGAAAGCAATTTGGCAACAGGTATCATCATGCAAACATGTTCACGATCTAGACATTTCCTAAGGAAGTAATTCAAAATATGGAAAAAGCGATCTGTACAAGGACGCTTGTGCGAGCATTGTTTATAATGGGGAGAAGAGCACGTTTTCTGTTTACAGAAAGGGTAAAAACCATAGTAGAAAATACACTCTGGGTGGTGTCAGGCGTTTCCGTGAAGTAGTGTAATTTTTCTGTGTTAAAAAGGGACATATAAACAATAATTTCAGCCTCTAAATAGTCCTAAAGCCTGTTTTAATTCATAGTTGAATGCATTTCTTGGGAAAAGCTTGTAGAGCTCTACGAAGAGTGGTCAGATTGAGGGATTTAAACATTATCTTCCTAAATCTGTTCATCCTCCGGTGGAGCCTGGGGAAAGTGGAAACTAAGGAAAGAAAAAAGGGGGAAAGTATTCTCTCATCTGTAAACTAGATTTTTAAATGTTTGGAGGAGAGAGGCCAAGCCAGCATTGAAACCTTCTCTCTTTAAGCCCCAGGCCATGACAGCACGGACCCCGCGGAGCGAGAAATCAGAGCAAAGGACTCCCAAAGCGGTGAGTTCAGCTGCCTGTGTGTGAGCAGCGGCGGGATGAGTCACTTCCTCGCTCACAGCCACATCTGTGTGTGCTTTGTGGTGCAGGAGAACCCCATCAACACCTCGGGAAGGCAGGACCACGCAGAGACGACCAGTCCAAGCTGTGCCATTTGCCATGGGGTCCTTGAATGGTGAGGGCTTCTTGCTGCTAAATCCCCAGGGCAGGTGGGAGCCAGTGCAGGGATAATAGCTCCGGGGAGAGTGGGCGTCAACTTAAGTGAACAGGTGCCAGAAGCCGCTGGCCAAGTTACAGATCGCAGATCGCAGGGCTGGGCATGCCCCGCCTCCGTCCCGATTCACAAATCCCTCTCACGGTGGCTCTTGAGTGGGGTGAGCATCAGAGTCATCGGGAAGATTGTTAAATAATGCACACGCCTCACCCTCACCTACTGTGTCAGCCTCACCGGGGCTGGAGCCCTGGTAGGAATACTTCTTTTAAATCTGCTCAAGTGATTCTCAGAAGTCCCCTTGGTTAAGAATCATGGCTACAGCCCACGAAGGGTGGTTTGTCCTGTAGGCTCCGTCAGAACATTACCCAGACGGGAGGTGGTCGTGCACCATTCACAGAGCAGCTTCTTGTGATGAGTGAAAATCTGCCCCTTCCCTCCCTCTGTCCCCAGTCCCACTGGAAATAAACCCAATCCCACCTCTCGGGGTTCACTTCTCCCCGTTCTTGGGCAAGAAATCTTCCAGAGGTTAAGAAGCTGTAAACTGTGTCAAGAAAGCATCGATGCAAAATCCTAAGGAGAAATCCTTAATGTTCTTGAAACTTTCTTTGGATCAACTGTTAGCCCATGTGGATTCAGAATCATTTATTTGAAGCTTCTGTCTGTTAGTGAGAGGCGCTACCTCCATGCTCAGGAGGCACCGTGGATGCAGGCCAAAGCTGGGCTAATTTACCTTGGAAAGGTCAAGAGTCAAGGAGGGAGGAGCTGTTTAGCAACCATTATTACATGTCCATAATGGGCTCTAATAGAAGCAGATGACAAGATCTGAAGCTCGAAAGGATTCCACCCCGGGAGCTTGTCCTAAGTGTTCTATTGAGTGTCCACCCCCTAAAAAGTGCATGGTGTTTGTGCTGAAAACGACCATGTGTTATCTGGTGAGGACCATTACTTTAAACCAACACGCCAGTCATTGGCTTTGACTCTCCTTTAAATATAAGGGGCAATAATGATGCCTACTCCCTGAGTCACCCCAGGCCCACTATTTTTATTTATTGAATGAAACCTCAGTTTTGGAATTTTAAAAATTGTATTAAGTATAATAAAAATAGTTTGACATTTAAAAAACATTTTGATTAAGCATTCGAGGTATTAAATACTTCTCTTCCAAATCCCTAGTCTAGACCCTATAGAGACTCTTAAGTATCAAGTCAGGGACTGGTGTTCCAGACTAAATTTTCTCTTTTATGACGGACAAGAGGGAAGGAAAAGCACAGCCAAGTGTGAAATCAGATCTAACAATGAATGTACCACTGGGGTGTGATTTATAAATTGAAATCTTGGTAAACTACATAATACCTGAGGGATTAATTGAACAAAGGGCTACATATACTCTTTACTTTTCTAGAAGATTAGATATCTCTCAGATGGGACATGTGCTTTATGAAGTTTGCTGATGTTTGAGGGATATTTATATATATGCAGATTAATGATATATGCTACAGATAAAATGCATATCCCTTTGTGCTATGTCTGATGCAGGATTTTGTATTTAAGAGTACGCTTCAGCTACTTTGTCTTCTTGGAAAACTGTCTTCTCAAGTAGAATTGCCCTTAGCTTTTATGTTTGGCAAGAAGATTTTAGTGCACAAAGAAGTTTAAAAGAGGCAGAAAAAGAAAGTCATGTGTGGGACTGAACTCCCTTGAAAGAGATCCAAGTTTTCCACTTTGGAGAGCAGATGTTCAAATGCCCCAAAGGTGGAAGGAGGAGACAGAAAATGAGGTGTTAGAAAATATGTGAGTCAGGAGGAAAGCATGTTTTTCCAAGGGGAGGGGAAGGGCCCAGCTTCTCAGCCCCCAGCCCCAACAACTCCAAGCACAGCGCCTGTCTCCATGGCAGCCAGCAGGCCTGGGCAAGGTTGGGGGTGCTGCATTCACCAAGCAACGTCTGGAGCTTGTCCCCCCTTCCCTGCCCCCCCGCCTCCCCTCCCCATCCCTCCCTCCAGGGGAATCAGTCTCGTTCCTCTCACCAGCTATGTCCGGGACATCAAGGGCACAGTGCCTTCCACACTAAGAATGAGCAACTTTCCTGGAGGGCTATTACTGTATCTCAGGGGCGTGTGAGGGCTTTATTAAGAATTGTGATTAATTAGAATTTTTCAGAAGGAGTTAGAATTTCTGTGAAGAAGGGAGGCTGAAGCAACAGACAGGTCAGAGAAAGTGTCCTGGTAGACAACTGGAAGGTATCTTTCTGATGCCCCCTGGTGGCCTTGTACAGCTAAAATTAACCCAATGTGCTCCCACCGCTTTGGGAACAAAGCGCCCCATACACACTGGACAAAATCCAGCTTGCTGGGCGTTCTGGACACACTCAGCTTGCACTTGTGGAGCCAAAGCCACATGACCTAGCACTGCCATGGAGCACAGCTTCTTCCCCTGGTAAGAGTTGATTTTGAGACACGAATATGAAGAAAACCCCAAATCTTATAATTCCGTATTTCAAATTTCTATATTGCATATGTGTGCATGGTGATTAGATATCATCCTCTGGGGAACAAAACAGATTTGCTTTTTAACATTTAGTATACATATTCTTACCAGGCCAAGCGGTGCTGGGTGCGGTTTCTTATAGGAAGGCTCTCAAAAGGGCGGGCAGCTCTGTGTTGAGGACAAGACGCCACTCCTGTATCGTCCCAGGCCCTGATCTAAGAAATTTAACATTTCAGTTTTACCGGTACGCTCACAGTCTCCAGGAGAAGTGGGCTAAAAGTTTATGGGATCTTATGCACCTTTTTCAGGAAGGAGAACATGGAGAAAAAAGGGCACAGAAACACCAACTGCGGAAGGTGTCCCCCTGCCATTCAAGAAAAGGCACAGCACGCAGGTTCGATTCTCAGTAAGTTGAGGGGCCCGGGGCTGTGGTCCGTCTCCATGGGTCTGCTCCCTGCAGGCAGCCCATCTGCCACACAAAACAGCTTTACCTAGACGAGGGTGTGGCCTATTGTATTTTTTTTTTTTTGCAATATGTAAAAAATTAAAAATGGAATAGATTCAAATGGATCAAATGTGGCCAGACAGGGTGAAAGTGCCCACCTGTGTTTGTGCAGGAGTCCCGGGACTCCATGCACTCAGTTGTGAGGTGGCCTCCACTCTGGGTGTCATCCTTCCAGCATGACCCAAAATCCCCACCTGGTGAGCTTCCTGGCCATGGGAGACTTGCTGCCGACTTGTCCATGCACATTTCACAGAAGCAAAGAAAATTGCTTCTCCTGGGAGGAGACTGGGAGAGCACGCAGGGCATGGAATTCAATGATTTTTAGTCAGAGGAGTTTTCCTCCAAAGGTAGTTTAAGCAGAAAAACATCCCGTGGCAGAACCACCCTGGTTGAGGAAGAGGTGAGGCCAAGGCCTGCCTGTTCAGGCAGCTCCTGAGCATGAGAGTCCCCACCCGAGTCTGGTCTACCCTGTTTATACACGAGAACCGGGGCCAGAGACCTAACGAGGCTTGTTTACGCTCATACAAGCTGTGGGCCAAGAGCCTTTCCTTTGACACAGTGTTCTTTCTGTTCTGTCATGTGTAGTTCTACTTCTTCTCCGTAGACGATTCATTTTCTTCTTCTTCTTTTTTAAAGATTTTATTTATTTATCTGAGAGAGAGAGAGAGAGCACGAGCAGGGGGAGCAGCGGGGGCAGAGGGAGAATCAGACTCCCCGCTGAGCAGGGAGCCTGATGCAGGACTCTATTCCAGGACCCCGGGATCATGACCTGAGCCGAAGGCAGATGCTTAACCGACTGAGCCACCCAGGCTCCCCAAAGATTCATTTTCTAATAGTCATAGTAATGTTTCATCAATTGAATACCCACAACACCAGATGCCGTACCAGGACAGGCTTTCCAACTGTGGTCAGAAGGCTCTGGGGGTCCCTGAGACCCTTCTGGGGGGCTGTGAGACCCTCTCTTTCGCAGCTACATATCCGTGCAAGGCCAATACTGCAACTGACTGAATGCAGGTGCAGCCATCGAATCCAGCTGCCTTCTAGTAAGCCAGGTATTCAAGACACTTGCCAAAACATAAAATACTGCCACTCTTCTAATGCCTTTCATTTTTTTTTTTTTAAGGTTTTATTTATTTGACAGAGAGAAAGACAGCCAGAGAGGGAACACAAGCAGGGGGAGTGGGAGAGGGAGAAGCAGGCTTCCCGCAGGAGCCTGACGCGGGGCTTGATCCCAGGACCCCGGGATCATGACCTGAGCCAAAGGCAGATGCTTAACGACTGAGCCACCCAGGTGCCCCATGCCTTTCATTTTTAAAAATAGCTTTTTTGCATTAAAAACCTGTTATTGTGGGGCGCCTGGGTGACTCAGTGAGTTGAGGGTTGGACTCTTGGTTTCAGCTCAGATCATGATCTCGGGGTCATGGGATGAAGCCCAGCATTGGGCCCTGTGCTCAGCATGGAGTCTGCTTGTCCCTCTCCCTCACCCTCTGCCCCTCCCCACTCTGCGAGCTCATGCACGCATGCTCTTTCTCTCTCTCTTAAATAAATGAATACAATTTTTTAAAAAACATTTTAAAAAGCCCGGGTGCCTGCGTGGCTCAGTCGGTTAAGCATCTGCCTTCAGCTCAGGTCATGATCTCAGGGTTCTGGGATCGAGTCCCGCGTCGGGATCCCTGCTCAGAAGGAAGTCTACTTCTCCCTCTCCCTCCCCTTCCGCTCCCCTTGTGCTCCCTCTCTCTCTATTAAATAAATAAAATCTTAAAAAAAAATTTTTTTTTAAAAACCCTTATTTTATCAGCATGAAATGAATTTACTGTTGGTTTTAAATGACATAATAAAATATTTTTAAATTTTTCAGTTTAAAATTCTATTTAAAAAAAGCCTTAGGACTTTCCTTTCAGTCTTGGGAAGATCTGAATGATTCTGCACAAGCAAAAATGACTTTAAATTTATAATAGATCCCTCTCTACCAGTCCATCTTCAACCGACTGAATGTCATATAATAGCTCTTCTCCAATGCAGGGTGAGATTTTTCACCACAGGTACAAAAAATGGCATATATTATGATGATACAGGATAGATAAAAACTATAATAAGTAAAGCTCTTTAGGGTTCTCAATTTTAAGAGTGTAAAAGGGTTCTGACATAAAAAATTTGAGAACTGCTGACATAGTGCATAATATTTAGCTATCCTTAAATCCCTGTAAGTAGGAATTATTATCTTTATTTTACAGATAAGGAAATGGAGGCTCAGAGAAATTCAGTAACTTGCCAAAGAGCTGGTGTATTTCTACTGCTGTATAGTGAAGTATCCCAAAATATAATGGTTCAAAACAACAAACATTTTCTATCTCAGAATTTCTATGGGTCAGGAGTTTGGGAGCAGCTTAGCTGAGTGATTCAGCTCCAGTTCTCTGATGAGGTTGTAGTCAGATGCTGGCCAATACCACCATCAGCTGAAGGCCTGACCGGGACTGGAGAATCTGCCTCTATGATGGTTCACTCACATGGCCATTGGGAGGAGGTTTTAGTTCCTCACTGTGTGGGCCTCTCCAATAGGCTGTTTGAGTGTCATTATGACATGGCAGCCAAGTGATCCAAGAGAAAGACCAACATGGAAGCTTCAGTGTCTTTTATGACCTAGTTTTGGAAGTGATACATCATCATTATCACTTTATTTGTGACAAGCAAGTCACTAAATCCAGCCCACACTCAAGGAGAGAAGAATTAGGCTCTACCTTCTGAAGAACATATCAAAGAATTTGTGGACATATTTTTAACCATCACTGCTAACTAATGGCAGACCCAGACTTCAAACTCAGGTCTATCTGAACCTCATGCTCCTTCCACCATACAGCCTTCCCAGGGAATGCCTTCAATCCTTTATTGCAATTTCCCTGAGTTATGGATTGAGAAGGAATTCAATGACTTTTTTTTTTTAAAGATTTTATTTATTTATTTGACAGAGAGAGAGAGAGCGAGAGCAGTAACACAAGCAGGGGGAATGGGAGAGGGAGAAGCAGGCTTCTTGCCGAGCAGGGAGCCCGATGTGGGACTCGATCCCAGGACCCTGGGATCATGACCTGAGCCAAAGGCAGACGCTTAACGACTAAGCCACCCAGGCGCCCTCAATGACTATTTTTTTAAAGATTTTATTTATTTATTTATTTGAGAGAGAGAGAGAGTGCATGCACGAGTGGGAGGAGAGGAGCAGAGGGGAGGGAGAGAATCTCCAGCAGACTCCACACTGAGCATGGAGCCCGACTCAGGGAGCTCAATCTCTTGACCCCGAGATCACAACCTGAGCCAAAACCAAGAGTCAGACGCTCCACCAACGGAGCCACCCAGGCGCCCCTCAATGACTACTGACTGAGATATGGAAAAGAAAAAACATCTCTAGAGCTCACCCCATTGTGACTTACTCTTTGAAAGATAATGTTACAGGGGCGCCTGGGTGGCTCAGTCGTTAAGTGTCTGCCTTCGGCTCAGGTCACCATCCCAGGGTCCTGGGATCGAGCCCCGCATCGGGCTCCCTGCTCGGCGGGAAGCCTGCTTCTCCCTCTCCCGCTCTCTCTCTCTCAAAAAATAATAAAAATCTTTAAAAAAAAAAAGAAAGAAAGAAAGTGTTACAAATGAGCATAATCACCAGAGTAGCAAGGCAGGTAGCGTCGGCAGAGTCTTTGTCCCCTGGTCTCACCTCTCCTGGAGCCGAGATGTGCTCACTTGTCTGGCCCAGGCTCTCACACTCTAGCCTTACCTGCAGGGCTCCATCGCCCATAGCCTGCCAGGTCCTAGACCTGCACTAGACACACACGCTCTCTACTACTAGCCCCTCTGTGGCACAGGTAACGGCAAAACTCTAATTCAGTTTCCCATATCGGCTTATGGAATTGATGTAGAGAAAAACCATCTTTCCAACTGTCTGGGTGACAAAACACAAGCTCTTGGCCACAACAGGGTCTGAGAAAAGAATGAGGGTGTATCAGGGCAAATCTGGAAAAATATCGATCTTGCATTTGTAATTGGTTCAGTGGGCCACGTTCTCACGGACCCATCCATTCAGCAGACCTTCCCTAAGCACCTCCATGTGCGAGTAAATTCTTGAGGTTTTCCTATCAGATCTGTTACTTACCAAAACATCTCTCATTTGTCATACGGGGATTCCAAATGTCATTCCGAGGCTGGCAACTCCCCTTGGGAACACAACTGGGGAAGTGGATACTTTGGCGCTGACTGGTTAGAGCTGCCACACTTTATGACTCTAGTGAAGAAACTCACACTTCCTTTGTGTAACTCGGGCTTTTCCAGGTTCTGCTGCAGGCCCCAGCTGCTCTTCTGCTTCTGGGACTAGATTGCAGAATAATAAATGTGAGAACTGTGGCACTAAGAGTCATAATTCCCGAAGAGTCTGTGGCAAAGAGCCACTTGAAGGTGAGCGTGACGCGGGGCCCTTGCACGGAAGGCGTAAGTGGGGACAGCTGCTGTCCGCGGCAATGAGTTGTATTTTTCATCTTTTCTTTTTAGAATTTCATTACAGATACAACATGCCGGGACAGAATTACTTAAATCCTAACGAAAGAAGTGCCTTTGTCAAACTCTGCTTTTTAAACGAAAATAAAAATTCTTCACCTTGTAAGTACATCTGCTGCACGATCTCATCTTTGTAAGCAGGCTGGTCTCCCAGGCGTGCGGGACCCGCATCACACCGGCCACTGTTTCCCTTCGGGGGGGGGGGCTGCCCTCTCCAGCCTGCTGCCTGGCTCTCCAGTACTCACCTGAGGCCCCCCGCATCCTGGATGGCCAGAGGCTGGGCCGGGGCTGGGAGATAGGAAATCCTAGCAATAAAGGACTCCGAAAGTTATTAAGTGCTAACTCAGTGTAGGTTGATAACAAATAATAAATATTTGCTACACAAATGACCAACTGAAGAGTCACCACTAGTATTGCTATCATTCAGGAGTGGTGAAAGCTTTAAATATGTCCCTACTAGGGCACCTGGGTGGCTCAGTCGGTTAAGCGACTGCCTTCGGCTCAGGTCATGATCCTGGAGTCCCAGGATCGGGTCCCGCATCGGGCTCCCTGCTTGGCAGGGAGTCTGCTTCTCCCTCTGACCCTCCTCCCTCTCGTGCTCTCTGTCTCTCATTCTCTCTCGCAAATAAATAAATAAAATCTTTAAAAAAAAAAATATGTCCCTACTAAAAGTCGGCATGTAAAGAAACAGACTATTTTTATACTCCTTAAACATGCTAATTTCAATGCAAAATTTTGCTGTCTTTGGAAAAAATTAAAAGCCCACAAACATTTATTTATAAAGATGAATAAGACAAGGCTCCTCCCTCCCCAAGGAGTTCACCATTTATTGAAAGGAACTCGTATCCAAGTAAGGGAAGTTCGTGGCAAAATGCGGTGCTAGAATTAACAAAGTCAGAGTGTGCTGAGGGAACAAAAGGGAGGGAAGGAAATACTCTGTGCTTTGCTTCTGACCCACAGCCATATCTGGTTCTCTGACATCCTCTCCTTGTGGGAAAGTTCATACCTCCGGCACTTTCTCTCCTTATCTGTGGACAGGGCATCAGGGAGACTGTTTCTTATCTTTCACAATTGCCAATTTCCAAGATGAAGGAATGCCATTTCCCAGATTGAACTCAGCTGTGCGTCCCCTATACACCCCCCCAGCTGCCAAATCCTTCACGTGCATGTATTCTCTCGAGATGACAGCCACTAAAACTCTGCAGAAGCAACAGAGCAGATTTCTTTACTATCTCTTTGGCCTTTGGGTCTACAGTCCGTGAGACTTGTCATTCCAATATATGAGGGAATGAGGGATCAACTGAGTCATCTGAAGTGTGACTTTGAGCTGCATTAGTAAATATATAGTGGCCAAGAAGGTAGAAGTCATAAGGAGGCATTGCTCAGTGTTGAAAAGAACCTTCCAGAAATTGGAATGCAGTGGGTTGTTGTGGGAGGTCCTGAGCCCCATCTGTAGAGATGTCTCTACAGATCCCATCCGGAGACAATGTACTTTGTCAGGATGTTGCAAACCTGTAGACCAGACTAGAACTGGACAAGATGACCCTATGATCCTTCCCAACTCTGAGCTTCTATGTTTCAAATAAAATCCAGATTTATATTTGGAGACTAGCAAAAGATTAGGACTGAACTCTTTAGTACCTCTGCTCATCACGACTTAAGTTCGGGTGGTCAACATAACTAATTTGGACTTTCTGGCTTCTGCTCTGCCTTCCATGTCTGAGGGACAATGTCTTTCAGTTCCCTTGTCAAATGGGACCCTCCTGAGGGGGAATGAAGCCTAGTTACGAGAGATTGGTGAATAAGACAGGAGACCAGGGAAGGACAAACAGCAACAGAGAAGGCATATTTATTGGCCATCGACTCTCCTCTTCCTCTCCCTGGCTTTCTTCTTGTCTTCCGTGGTGTCTTTCCTACGTTTATCTTCTTTTCTGTTTAGTCTCTATTTTCTGGAATTGTCTTAGTCATGTAATTTAGTTTCTGACTCCTAGAAACCTTGCTCATGGGTTTGGAGAAGACTTCAATCCCCGTCAAAGGGATTATCTATCCCTCCACTTGTCAGATGAAGTAGTTGAGTCCACAGAAGTTGGACGGCATGCTCAGATGTCACACAGCTAGCACCCAGCGAACCTAAACCTAGACTCCTGGTCTTGTGGCTACTGATAAAACTCCCTTTAAAAGTTGAATTTCTTAAAATAAATAAGTTGAATTTCTTTTCCTGAATTCAGAATACTTGATAGAAAGTTCTTTGTTTTCTATGTTCCCTAATTTTCTTACTTCTTAAAATTTCATGAAATATTTCCTTCATACAGAAAAGTTCGGGAAATGATACCCATATATCCACCATTTGGGGATCATTTGTGATGCTCTGAATTTAATCATAGCTAACATTTTTCAGCTTGTTCAAAACCAGAACGGATCTGTTCCCAGACATCGAATCCAAAATCCTCTCATGATGAACATGAGCCCATACCAGGAAAGTAAGTATTATTTTATTATTAATAACAACAAAAATGACTACCAATCAGTTGGGTACATACAATGTGCTTAGTGCATGAAATTACTGGCCCAAGATCACCTAGATCATAAGTAGTAAAGCCAAGATTCAAACCAAAGTATGGCTGGTACTTCAAACATTCATTTATTCTTCAACAAGTATTTGGGTGTTAATAGCAGCCTCTTGTGCCGGGTTCTGAGGACACAGTGAAAAATTAAACTACTGTCCCTGCCCTCATGGAAGTTACTTTTTTGGTAGAAGAGCCAGTCTTTGTAAGTGCCAAAAAGGGGGTGTACTGAGTGCCATTACTTAATTTGGAGGTTCAGGGAAGCTGAACACCAAAGGATAAGTGTGAATCAACTAGCAAGGGGATGTAGAGGTAAGAGTGAAGACATTCCAGTCTAAGAGAGCTTGCTGGAATGGGAAGGCCCCTTGGCAAGTTCTGGATCAGTGTAGTACGCATGGCTGTGGGCCATGATGGGGCTGGTGAGGGGAAGCTGGTGGGATGGGTAGGGCCAGACCATGCAAGGGCTTGTCGGCTACAGGAAGGATTTCAGACTCTTGAGTATAATAAGCCAATGAAGGTGTTTGTAAAGTTTCCTAGTGTTTTAAAAGATCATTCTAACTACCAAAGGAGTGGGAATGGAGTAGAGGAGTCAAGGATTGGAGCACAAAGGCCAAGTAAGAGGCTGGTGCAATATTCCAGGTGAAATGATGGTAGCTTGGCCAAGGGTGGTAGAGAAGGAAAGAGAGAGGTCTAGTATTCAAGAGCTCTCTAGGAGGCAGAATCAATAGTGTAGCAGTGGTTAATAGTTCAGGCTCTGCACTCACTCACTCAGTCTGAACTCACTAGCTCCTACGATAATGCAGTGCAGTGTTTAAGAATGTGGCCTCTGGCGAGGTCTTGGGTTTGCATCTCGGTTCTGTGTCCTTGAGCTGGTTGCCTGACCTCTCTGTGCCTCCCTTTCCCCACCATTATTTCCCCATTATTCCCCAAATGGGAATCATAATAGTGCCAAACTCATTGAGGATTGGGTCAATACATATAAAGCACTTGGAAAGGTACCTGGCATTCAGCAAGTGATGGCTATTATTGTTGATCATGGTGACCGATTGGAGGTAGGGAGACAGAGGACTCTGAAGCCCACGCCCTTTCCACTGCACCACACTGCCCTGCTCTGCCTGGAGTTCTTCATTAGCTAGGGGCTCCTTATGCTCATGTTCTCTGATGCTCTCAACTGGACAATAGATCCAATGTGTTAAACTAACCTGCGGAACCAACTCATGTGAATATGGTGGTGGGGGTGGGGGGGAGGATGAAGGGAGGCTTTGGGTCACAAGCATTTGAAGCCAGACTTTCTGGAGATGACTGCTACAAGTGTCCTATGTACCAAAGAAGTAATGCTTAACAGAAGGAATCTCAAGCCAGGGGGACGTGAGGATGGCTCCATGGCCCACCTGTCAACAGGCAATGTCTTGTGGCATCTCTTAAGGCCACTACTCATTGTTGTGCGAAGCATAGCACCACGCAGTGCCCTTCGCATACACTGTGAACGAAACCTCCCAGAGCTATGCAGTGCGCAACTGCAACAACCGTACGTGGTGACACTGGCCCCCCTTATTCACCCAGACCATCAAGAGACAGAGTCATACTTATAGTGTAGTAGGCAAGGGGAGCCTGCTTAAAGAGGTGCTGCTTTTATCTTTCTACTGCTGCTGCCTCCTTACTTTGTAAGCTCACTGGTGCTAGAAGGAACTCAACTCAAAGTGCCTGCAATTGGCAGATTTGTGTGCATTTGTTTTATAAATATGCAGGGTAGAAGGTTGGCCCGAAAAGAATGAAAACCTAATAAAAATCAGAGTTTTGCCTCTTTCTGTGGCAACGGAAGAAGAGACAGATTCTGGGAGAAAACACCCTTCATGGTTGTGGTACAAACTATTTCTGTGGTCAGCCACAACAGGACTATAGGCGAAAGGCAGAGAGAGCACAAACTCCTCACCCCCAACACACACACACACACACACACACACACAGCCATTACTGAACCACCACGAGCTCGAGGGGAGAGGGCAGTTTTATACAAATATGCTTTTGCCCTCCAGAAAAAATCTTAAGGTTTTCATGACCTACCATTCAGACCTTGCTACAACCTCACCCCATTTCCACTCCTGCAGGATTTCTGGAAGCAAATCCTTAAGCAACTTTGGCAGTATTGAAGAAACAGAATCTGAGGTGAGGACTTAGAAAAGAAAAACAAAAACATTCTAGAATCCTTGCAGCTTGTAAGTATGGTCTTGACCACAAAACCTTTTAAATTATTACAGTATGGGGGCACCAGAAAATGCTCTGCTAAATACAATTTGTGCTCAGCACTAACACAGAGACACACAGCCTGAGCAGCCACATGGTTTGTATTATTCCTAAATTGGTTCCAAGGGAAATTTCCTGGAGAAAGTGTTTTGTGGGTGGTGCCTCGGCTACAGGATCCCTTGGGCCAGGAGTGAAGGCAGCAGAGACTGTTTCCAGCCACTCCCAAGTCTGTTCCAGTGACACTGGGGTTAGAACTGCCTGGTTCCCAATTTTCCAGTCAAATCCCAGGCCACTTTCAAATGCTTCCAACGCAAGCACTAATCCCCCTGGGTGCCGTCTCAGGGGTTATGACTCCTCCGTCCCCTTCGACGGCCCCCAAAGAGCTTGCCTTCTTTCTCACAGATCTCTTCCTCTGTGGCAGGGCAACAGCCTGGCAGGTTGCTGATCTCATCCTCTGATTCACACTCATCGGTCATGTGTTGGGTCTTTTTTTTTTCTGTCCCTTTCCCTAAAAAATATATTCCATCTCAGACTGGTTTCCTAGGAAACCAACTGTCAAAAACAGGAATAGACTGGGTGGGAAAAGAATACTCCAAAAATTCCACCTTGCAATGTTTAATAATGAGATAACCCAATTAACAGAAACAGTAACTTTAAACAAAATGTGTGGACTTTTCCTCTGTAGATTTTAAACTCGTCTTTGGATCATGCCCTGAGGACAGCAACCATTTTGAAAGACACTACTGATCGAATGATTAGAACTGTTGCAGAAAATCTTGCCAAAGTACAGAGATGGAGGAATCAACTGAAATACTAATTTGACCCAAGGCAACCGAGGACTTAAAAAAAAAGAGAAATGCAAAGAAAACTCATCTTCCCCCCAAAAGTATCTTATACCATTTAGGAAGGTGACTTTCTAGAGAAAATACCAAAACTGTAAGAAATGGGGGGGCACCAAGTGCTTAAAAGGAAAAAACAATGGACCCCGATTCTTAAAATTGAAATCAACAAGTATTTATTTTAAAATAAATCTGTTATTCCTAACTCATAATAAAAGAAATCAAAGCAATAAACTAGGAGTGCCTGGCTGACTCCATGGGAAGAGCATGCGACTCTTGACCTCAGGGTCAAGAGTTCGAGCCCCACCTTGGGTGTAGAGATTACTTAAAAAAAAAAAAAGGATAGAACCAAACTATACCTTTGCCTATAAGTATGGCAAAAACTAAAGTTTAGAAAAGCCAGTGTCAGCGAGGCTGGGGGTGACAGGTGCTCTTGTACCCTGGGGATAGAAGTGTAAATTGGTGTAACCTGGTGGGAAGGCAACTTGGTATCAAATCCTACAAATGTAAAAGCACTTGCCTTCTGAGCAGAAACCCCACTCTTAGCAATTACTTCATAGGTGACTCACACAATAGGCCATCGTATTACACATGGGTGGCCACTGGAGCACTGAGGGTAAGAGCCCCCAAGTGGAACGATCTAATACTCTGTGGGGATTCATAAATAACGACAGGCATACAGTTAATGCTCTGCACCACTGGAAAAAAATGAGGTGGATAATCTTGCAAGATAGTGAAAAAAGGCAAGACAACTAATAATGTATGTAGTGTGACCTCATTTGCGTATGTTTTTCAAAGGGCATACGTATTTTCTGGAACGATACACAAAAATATTCAGTGGACCTCCAGGAAATGGAAACTGGGCATCGTTCAGGGAAGGAAGAATCTTTACTTTTACTTTCTGTATGGTATGAAATTCTTACAGTATGTTTATAATATAAATTACATGAAGATCTCTTGAAGTCAGATGCAAAAATGTTAGTCCTAGATTAATGAATTTGGGACAAAGTGAAGACAATTCACTAAAACTATGTACTGGGGATTAACTAAATGTATAGCATTTCATGTAGAATGTCAGAACAAGATTTTGATTTGCTTCTTTAAGACTGCTTTATAACCTCTTTAATGACAGAGCAGCACATGATTGGCTCTTTCCCTGCTTCCTGAGGTCTCTATTTACTCGAAACAGTCAACAAATGGTTTCCCAACCCCCAGAGCTTTGCTCAGTGGTAAAGAGAGTTGAATCCATTCCCACTTTGAAGATTTTTGTGGCCAAGGCAGCTGCTATTTGTCTAGCTGGCTGGAGAATGGGCTATTTTTAACTTTGGGGCTTGGAAATTGGTTTAGGGTGCCTTAGAAGAGATAAAGCAGAGGCCAGGCTGAAGATGTCTCTGACTTTGTGGCTGAAGGTACTTGGTACTTTAAGTCTTGGCACCATAAGGTAGAGAGTGAAGGCTGGTAGTAGCATTTTTTTTTTTTTTAAGATTTTATTTATTTGATAGACATTGCGAGAGAGGGAACACAAGCAGGGGGAGTAGGAGAGGGAGAAGCAGGCTTCCCGCTGAGCAGGGAGCCGGATGTGGGGCTCGATCCCAGGATTCTGGGATCACAACCTGAGCCAAAGGCAGACGCTTAACCAACTGAACCACCCAGGCGTCCGTGGTAGTAGCATTTTAAGAGGAAAAAAAAAAGGGAGCTTTAACTGTGTATATGCTAAGAGGCTTCTAGATTCATCACTTACCTAAATTTAATCACAAGTTGATAACCTGCTTTGTGTGCCAAGCATCACTATCCTGTCCCCAAGTTTAAAATTACACTTCCCTGGCTTGAAGGGTTCTCGTATGATTCATTAGTTCTTAATCTTTTCTGGGTTCAACCGTCTTTGAGAAACTGAAGAAAGCTATGGAGTCTCCCTCCCCCATGGTCCCCTCTTGCAGGGAAAAGGGATATAAGAACACACACAATTTTTAAAAGTTCACGGACACCTAAAGCAAACCCACGGAACCCAGGTTAGAAAGGACCACCATAAATGAATGTTCCTAAACCCTCAACTAACCTTTAGAGAAACATTAACTATTATAATCATTTATTTAAAAATATGGCTCATCTCTGCTTTATTAAACTAGATCCTAAGTGTAACTTTACAGTTCCTTAATGATTGAGGATTATTATGAACCCATCACTGCAACGTACTTAATCCAAGAAACAGAAACAGGGCAATGTCCTTTGCGGCTCAGATCCAAGAATTTTTGTGTCTTTGTGAACGGCTGATGTTTTTATTTTTTTGTGAATATGGCTGAACAATGGGAATCCACTATACTTTATAAACCAAGCGCATTTCAACAGGAAGCAAGCGTGGGCTTCCGAGATAGCGAATAAATGGTTTCAGTTAGTTCTAACAGCAAAATATCTCTTTCGGGGTCTTATCAGAATCGGTAATTGCTAATTCTGGAGGTGGAATCAGTTTATGCCAGGAATTTATGTGAGATGGCAACTTATGTCTTCAAATTCAGCAAGAGATTTAGGAAACACGATCTAATTCTAAGCCTAAAGTATATGTAGGGTGGAGGCCTCAAAGGATCTCACATCACTGTGATGGGACAAAGTCATCAGTGAGGTGTTAAGTGACTGAATGGGCCAGTGTGTGCTGCCACCGCACTCTCGGTTCCACCTGCCACAGGGCACTGGATCAGTGTAAATCTCTGTTCCACATACATACTAACTCTGGACAGACAGTAACCAAGGTATACAAGGGCCTCAGATACAACGCAGACGCCAAAAACCAACCCTTTCACTGGCAATGAACTGTTCCCATGTTCGATGCATGGAGAGAGACCAGCCTTGCGTCTCCACACGCACACCCAGGTTAAATTACATAACCTTTTCGTGCCCTGGTTTTCTCGGCTTCCAAATGAAGATGATGATGATAATAGTGCCTATCCTCACAGGATTAAGTAAGAAGATTAAATGAGGTAATATAAGCACTTTGAAACACTGCCTGGCACAGATAAAGCTCTAAGTAAGCACCTGCATATTATTATTTTGTTATCACTACCTAGTAAACTAGCAAGTTATGAAATTAATAGATCAAAAAATAACATTCCTATATAAAAGATGTTTGAAAATAAGGTAAAAGATCCAATTCATATGGAACCACAGAAGACAGATATGGCAACTGCAGTACCTGTATGAAGAAAATAAAGGTTTTGAAGGTCATAAAGATTTAGGTAAATAAAAAGACATTCTATATTCCTGAATTTCAAGTTTCAATATTATAGAGCTGTCAATTTTTTTAGAGATTTTATCTATTTATTTGAGAGAGAAAGTGAGCAGGGGGAGGGGCAGAGGGAGAAGCAGGCTCCCCGCTGAGCAGGGAGCCCGATGCGGGGCTCGATCCCAGGACCCTGGGACCATGACCCGAGCCGAAGGCAGACGCTTAACCGACTGAGCCACCCAGGCGCCCTGGGCTGTCAATGCCTCTTAAATTAACCTATAAATGTATTGCAAACCTAATGAAAATACCAAAATAAGTTTTGGTATTAACAAAATGATACTAAAGTTCATTTAGAAAAATGTAATAGTTAGAAAATCTCTGAAAAATAAGTGATTTAGGTGTGAGTGGAGATTATATCTGTCACACATTAAAATATAGCATGAATTAGGGGTGTCTGGCTGACTCAGTTGGTGAAGCATGCCACTCTTGATCTTGAGGTCATGAGTGCAAGCCCCACGTGTGGCATGGAGCTTAAAATTATTTTTTAGACTTTTTTTTAAAAAATATTTTATTTATTTATTTGACAGAGAGAGAGAGAAAAAAAGAGAGCACAAGCAGTGGGGAGCGTCAGGGAGAGGGAGAGGGAGAAGCAGGCTCCCCGCTGAGCAGGGAGCCCGAGCTGGGGCTCAATCCCAGGACCCTGGGATCATGACCTGAGCCAAAGGCTGATGAGACCCTTAACGAACTAGCCACCCAGGCACCCCTAAAATTTTTTTAAAATAAAATATAGCATGAATTAAAATAGGGAAAAAGACATATGAACTATAGGTCAGTAAAAGAGAATTCAGAAATAGACCAAAATACAAATATAAATTTAGTCTGTGATAAAGGTAGTATTTCAGACTAGACGGGGAAAGAGGGATTACCCAATGAAATCTGTACAATATCTGGCTGTTTAGGAAGAAAGCTGGATCCCTGTTAAATACTGTATCAGTCAGGGTTCACTGTAGGAAAAGAAAATCCGCAGGTATTTCAAAGAATAGAAATGAACACAGGTCCTTAAAAATCAGAGAAAAAGGGGCGCCTGGGTGGCTCGCTTGGTTAAACATCTGACTTTGGCTCAGGTCATGATCTCCGGGGTCTTGAGATTGAGCCCGGTGTTGGGTTCTGCGCTCAGCGGGGAGTCTGCTTCTCCCTCTGCCCCTCCCCGCTTGTTCTCGGTCTCTTTCAAATAAATAAATAAATACTATCTTTTTTTTTTTTAAAGATTTATTTATTTATTTCAGAGAGCGAGAATGAGAGAGAGAGAGAGTACATGAGGCGGGGGAGGGTCAGAGGGCGAAGCAGACTCCCCGCCGAGCAGGGAGCCCGATGCGGGACTCGATCCCGGGACTCCAGGACCATGACCTCAGCCGAAGGCAGTCGCTTAACCAACTGAGCCACCCAGGTGCCTGGATCTTTTTTAAAAACTCAGAGAAAAAGCTGAAGGGGCAGAAACTGGGGGCCAACACAGCTTTTAGACTCGGGCTGTATCATCTTCTGGGGCGCAGGGCACAGGAAGTCAGCGCCGTTGAAGCCACCAGCACTGCCTCAAGCCCATGCAGCAGGTGACAGACACTGAGACACGGCGTCTAGTTGCTACAAACAACTTCAGGTGGCCGGAGCTTGCTTGTCCACTAGTACAGCATGGCAGATGGTCTCTGCCTTCCAAATCTTGACCAAACGCCAATCACCGGCAGAACCTAACCAGTTCTGAACCCTGCTTATCTTTGAGTCTGCAAAACTTCATTTTTAGCCTTTCATCCCCTCTGGTATGAGATGGGGAGGCATGGGACATAATGCCAAGTGCTAAGAGACAATACCTGCCATACACTGTCACACTAAAGTCAATTCCAGATGGATGAATTACCTGTAAAAATAAAATGAACCTATTGAAATGTTCTAGAAGAA